AATTTTATAGAGTTTCAATTAAATATAATTTTTCATTATTTATGTTTAGGAATGTAATTTTTTATGTATTTTTCAGCATTTTAATTTTTTTTATAATCATAATGAATTAAATATCGTTTGTTCGCGTCCCTATTCCGGTGAATTTAGGTGGTCGCTTGCACTTGCAGCCATATGATATAAAAAAAAACTTTCAGTTCGAAGTTAAAAGACTTGAGTGAATTCTAAATGCACAACGATCGTCTTAATTAGTCTCAATTAAGACTTTTATTCCTGTATTCCTTTGAATGCAGACCACGCTCAGTGGACAAGGAATAAAGATCTTATAATAACAAAAAAAAGTTTGTTAAGTCTGAGAAATTAACTAACGAGACCAATAATTATGTACTAAGTTTGAAAATTTTCTGTAATTCGGATTTAGTGTTATTGATTTCATAACGGACTTTTTTATCACAACACAATCACAAAACACTTATTTGTAACATAGTAATAAAACTTTATTTTGAACCTTAGTAAATTGGATAGAATTAAGTAAGCAAACCGAACAGTGAAAAAAAATTTTACAAGAACATTTAATTTTCCTAAAAAAAATACTGGTTAGGTGATAGTTCTATTTATATCACGGTTCAAATATTTTAATCAGTGGTTGGCATAAGGAGATTGCAGCCGTCATTTCTATGTACGAACCCACGACATTAAGTGAAATTTTAAAACATAATGAATAATTGCACAAGCCCGCATTTGAGTTCCAAAGTTCGCTTTAACTTCCCTTTGATCGCTGGACTGAAAAGTCACGTTGTATATAAAGTTGTACCAATGACGTTACCCTTAATTACCGACGAACTAACAGACAGTGGGAATTAACAGATTATCATAACAAGTGCACGGAGATCCTATTTGAGCTATTTTGCTTTGTGTTGCTGAACAATGGAAATCGATTCAGGTAATTTTGCATATCAAGTGTATTATTTCTTTCTGTAGGTTAAATTTTACTGTTTTAAAGTTATATGTTAGGGCTTGTCCCACCAAATTGTAAATTGTCTGATAACAATCCATTAAAATTTGTGATGGAAATATCGAATTTTGTTCCCTTATCTAACAGTGACGTCATTTTTAAACTATCTGAGCCTCTTTCAGCCAGTGGTGGAATTGACCCTTATTCTGACATAGTGTAGTTATATATAGAGAGAGGTATATCCTTAGGGTATACTAGTGTAGAAATATTTCTACTCTGTTTATTTAAGTCATACGTTTGATGAAAACCGACCAAATCCCTTCCCATCTATTGACAAAATGTATTAAAACATGACATAGATTATTTCATACAACTGCTTAGAGATTACGACACAATCCGTAACGTACTCTCCAAATTCAATGAAATTAATTTTACTGAATATCTTACTTGTAATTCGATGTTTCTGTACAAAATATAAGATTGTATAGGTGTCTATGCTATATAAATGTATATATTTAATGGTGTTGTGCTCGTTAAAAGCGCCTCTGAGACTCCGTCCGTTCCGAAGCTAACGACATTAGCTCAAGTTTATTGCATATCCTGTGTCTAGGAGCTAGGAGCTGTCAAGTAATTGTTACTATCCGATCTCACATTTACTTATCGTTACATCACTATGATTAAATGCTCTCATAATTGAAAAAAGCAAATTTTACTCGTATACATACTTCTGTGTTGATCTTGTCTTTAAGTGTAGTCTTTTGTACTGAATACTGAAACTTTTGTGATCAAAGCATAAGTTCTTCAAAAGGAATATGCGGGTACGTAAAATTATATTATTTAATTACCCCTACTAAAATCTTGTGACTGAAGATACTGTACCAAAGTAAATATGTAGAGGATTTTGATAACATTACTTATTCAGGTATTATACATTTAGTAAATTTTAAGAAACAAAATTTTCTACATAGAATTAAACAAGTATCATTTTCAAAGTATCCTATCATACAAAATCCTTTATTTAAGTAACGATTTAAGAAGAATTGTCTCGTAAGATAACACATTCCCGTAGAAATACCAATATCCTTAGCATCGTAACAAAATATTGCAATCTCTGGCAAGTTTTTCTCCCCTACGTTTGCTCAGTTCGTGGTAAGCTAATGGATAAACAAAGGGTCGCGACGTTGCAATGTTGATTTTCAGTTACCTCGGCTGGCGTTCTCGTATCTTGTGATTTGTTTCCCGAGGCTATCATCAAATCATGGTGTTATTCTTTCTTAGATTGCTTAATTGCTAAAGAAGTGATTACTATACAAGAGTATTGTTTATGATTTAAAAGTAAGTTAGTGAGAGAATCCCTAAGAATGTCGTAGTTCTGTAATCAAATCACACAAATTCATTTTTATCAGACCCTTAATTCGGATCCTTTTATATTTTGTTCCTTAATGCTAGCAATATTTTCCTTTAACTCATTGCAATTATTTTTGTATTTTACTTTTTGTATTTTCTTTTACTGATGCACGTGATGGGCACCTCTGAACTGTCGCGATATTACCCTCCGGGACAGGCTGAAAACCAGCTCCGCATGGCTTAGGTCATGCAGTCCACGCTGAGCCTGCAGCCCATTGTTGTCGATTTATTGTTATTTATTACTTAGCTTATAACAAACTGTTTTTGTTACAACAATAAAAACCATTTTATTTTATTTATTTATTTTATCTACTACAAAATTTCTCGCAACCCGGTATGTTGGGAATTTAAAAAATGCTATATGTTAACTTAGTGATAATGTAGCTTTTTAATGGTGAAATAATTTTAAATTTTTTTCTTCTTTATAGTGTTAGTTTAGATTTATATGTATTGTTATTATAAATTGTCTGAGATACAGTTCCTATAAGCCTTTTGAGGTTTTTAATTTGGCAAGCGGTTGTTTTTTGTGTGCATAAGTTCACGGTCCGGTTGCTCACCTTACATTTCGTACGAAAGTTAGCGAGGCGTGCTTAACTAGTTAGAAATTTAATTATTTTCGCCGCGGACGGTTAAGCTTCCGTACAAAACATTTTCTAAACTCACAAGCCTTTAGAAGATAGGATACGAAAAACTTTGAAATACAACCTACTTAGTTGCTTTGGTAAAATGTTGGTGTTATTTAAGTTTTTATAAGAAGATTAATTAAATAAAATAATACAATATGTACTTAAAGAGATATAAAAGCTTGTTAATGTCTATAGAATCAATTTGTAAAGAAGATTGTTCGGTTTCTCTTCATTCTGTAGATATTTGATTGTGTTTGTGTTATTGTTGTTGAGAAAATTGAATTCGTCCACAATCCGTAGTATTGCAATGTTCTCGATTCGTTTATAAAATAAAATTTTTATTATTGTTTCAATTCATAGTTGAAAATTAGAAAAATACATCGCTTTGTTTTTCAATTAAACAATGTACGTTTTTGTGTAACGATCAAATTTGGATGTACGTTTAGCCTTTTTAATACATTTCATTCTCTTAAACAATCTATATAGGCATTTAATATGTAGCATCGTTATGCGATAAATTCGTTAATTTAGATTTAAATAAATATTTTTGCAATTCAAACTATTTAGTCTAATTTTTTTAAATTCAAGGCGAGTACAGATAGTAATGAAAACATACTTCATTATCCAAAATGTAAACGCACGACACTGCCAAAAAAATTTAGTTATTACTCGCATAGCCTAAATTAGAGTGGCTANATTGGCCCGCCACTAAACCACTTGAGACATTTTGGTAAATAATGAAAAACTGAAAAACGCATTTAAAACAAATTAAAAGCGTTGTATTCAAGAAACGTTTTTAATTTTGGAAAAATACTAGAGAAGAAAATTATCTTACTTATGAGTAAAGTTAAAAAACTCTGTATTTATTGTTTGTAAAGATATTTTTAAATAAGGCCTCTGTTTGCCGATTTTTATTCGAGCTGTACTTTTTATTTATTTTTATAAAGTAGCAACATTCGAAACAGATAGCAAGTATAAAAATAGATTCATCTCAAAGTATTTTAAGAAGATTTTATCCGTAGGCGAGATCGATTATTCTACGCGTACCAAAGCTTTTTGTAAGAGTTTTGAAGAAGATAAAATAGGGAAGTATACCGAACCTGTGCAGTTTTTACAAAAGAACTTGTAGTGATTTGTTAGATAAGTTTTGAGAGGCTTTCGGACTTACCCTATACTCGGTGCTCCTTGTAGAAATAAATTTATTAGTATGCTCTTTCTTTCAAAATCCAATAAAGTTCAAAATGCATTAATTTTTAACAATTCTTTCAACCAACAAATTTAAAAACCAAGCTTATAATAGCGTTAATATAAGCGACAATAGTTGGGGTACGGACTAACGACCTTGTGGTCGAGGGTTCGAATCCCATTAAAATACTGTCGTGAAGCAAATTCCAGCACAAGCCGAGAGCTTAGTTGGAATGGTTAAAGGAAATATTAGTAAAATTAGCAAAAACCTACTAATATTTTACAAAAAAATTAGGCTGAGGACATAATCTTTACCATCAAAGCGTTACCCTCAGACACTGGAGCAGTGGCCTTAAGCCAACTGCTAACTCGGTTGGAACTGACCATCTCAGCTTTATAACATTCTTCTGTGATACCTTAAGAGCTAAGCTATCGCACAACTGCTTAGTCTTTCATTGATTCCTTTGAGCTTATATGGAGGTGCGCAAACTCCTCGTTTTTCATTTGTGCAACTAATCAGTTGAATTGTTACTACTATTATTTTAGTAAAATTGGTAGAGATAAGAATATTTAGCTTTTATTCTTTGGACGGAGTCGCCCGCGACTCCGTCCGCGTGCAATATAAAAGGACAAAGTAAGTAGCCTATGTGCTCTTCCAGAATAACCAGAAATTCGTTCAGCCGTTTTGGCTACAAATTCTAACAAACATCCATGCTTCTAAACTTTCGCATTTATAATATTAGTATGAGAGTATGATTGAAACTTTAACGTGATTGCTTTTAAAACAATAAAAATAATAATTTTGACATTTTATTGTCATTATTATATTGTGTTTTAGTAAAGTATATTTGCTGTATATTTGATTTTTGAATATATTTATTTTATAGTTGTGTTGGTATTTTTACAGAGTTGTGGACAATTAGTAAGTAAACCATTTATTGCTTTGGGCTCCTATGACATAATAGAAGACAAATATTTTACGATTCAAATTTGTCTAAAAACATTATATTCGTATCTTTTTATTACAGTTCATGTCGCAGCACTTTAGAAGTTTACCAAGTCATTCGTTATTTAGAGATGAAGTAAAGAAAACATACAGACTTACTCCGTTCATTGTTACTCTTTGTATGTTAATTGTTATGGACTTTATTATATTTTGTTATCATTAGTACAGCTTATCAGAGAAGTATACTCTCTTAGTACTAGTCTTACTATAATCATTTGGATGGTCATCCAAAAATTTAATTTACGATCAGTGTTCCCATCCTTGAATATTTTGTTCCTAGACCCTTACGAATACAGTAAGAACGAATTATTTTATGTTAATACTCTTTCGTCAACAGTAATGACGTAAGATAAAACCGCGTTGAGATCACGTCCCTATTACAAAATCGTAGGAAATAAACAATAATTTTCATTATAAAACTTTTTCAGCTGGTACCAGCTTGACGTCGATAGATATAGAAAATTTCATAGAAATGGGATTACGTATAATTCGTTTCAACCTTACAAATTTAACACGAAACGATAAAATAATGTTATTGGCTAAGTTCAAGCAAGCTATGAAATCATTTTGCGAAAAGTATAATGTTCCCAATTGGCCGATTGCAATTTCTATCGATTTGCCAAACGCATGTATTAAAACAGGATGCTTTGTTGATGTAGGTAACATAATTGAAATCTAAATATTGTACCAAACTTTCTTGGTACAAATAAATAAGAACGTCTGTGATGACTTTTCATAACAGACGTTTCTTATTTACTTAATGTAACCTGCAGAACATTCTATATGAAAAAAAAACTGTCGAAGCCCAAAATAAAAATCTCATGTATAATATGTACAATCGAGAAATCTGGCAGTTCCGCCTTAACACTAGTCTTTTGAACAATTGAACACATTTAAATATAATATGTCCGCAATACGCGGCTAATTGCATTTTATACCGTAGTTTAGACAACTCACTGTTACATAATTGGTTACTTGTAAAAGAGGCGGAGTGTCTCTCGTAATAAGGCAATGTATTTGTAAGTGAAACACCGCAGATTTCCGCGATTGTACTATTACGAAAACTTATACAATTTACGAAAAAAGTGTTTTAAGCAGTATTGTTGATATTTGATATTTCATTCCAGGATATAACCGAAGTATTTTTAGAAGAAAATGATCTAATCGAAATAACTTGTAACACAAAGTTGTGGAACATGTGCAGTAAACATAGGATATTCATGGACGATCCGTATACTTTTAAATTGATAAAACCTGGAGCAGAAATAACATTGGGTTCGGGAAAAGTTATATTGATTTGTACTGAAGTAATTAGCGAACAGAGGATCATGTGTAAAGTTTACCAAAAAGGTTCGATAGGGAATTTGGAATTTTTCTGCGTCCGAGGAATCAAGCATATAAAACCACCATTGTCTAAATACGATTTGAATATGATAGAATTTGCTAAAGAGTTTTCTGTGAGTATACTAATACGCTTTCTTCTGTAAATATTTGAATTTATTGAAATCTCATTCTAGTATATTGAATTTCTAGGATCAACTGGATACTACTTGATTTGTTTTTTTTTTTTTTATTTTTATTGTGGTTTCATTTCAGCTTGATATGATAATAATGAATTCTGTTCGACGCACATCTGTACTAGATAAAGTAAAAGCATTTTTTAAAAACTCTCCGATGCCGCACATCATCAGCACGATCTGTGAACAAGAGGGACTGGACAATATCGATGAGATTATTGAGGTAAAAGATATTCTCTCTTCTCTCCTTCTTCTTCCTCTTAAAGTGCTATCTTCTTTTGAAGTTCGGCGATCATAAGGGCGACTTGCGTCTTGACAACGCGGCCACAAAGATATTCTAATGTTTGAAATTTTATAGTAAAGGTCATCGCTTATATACCTTAAGTCGCCGCGACGTCGACACGTCAACAACGTATGAAAATTATAACTTTGAAAATAAAAGTAAACTGTTTATTTTAGGCATCAGACGGTATAATATTGGCCAGAGAATTCCTAGCATACGAAATTCTTAATAAATATCAAATGAGTGCAATACAAATGCAAATGAGTGCTAAATGTAGACAGGTAAAGTAAACTATTTATTAATTTTAAAAATACTTTTTATGATACTGTAGTATTTAATGCAAATTATTAATTTTCAGCGAGGAAAACCATTCTTTATCTCGGGTAATATTTTAGACGAAAGTATAAAGAAGGGAATATTAGCGGATCGCGATGTTTTTGACATCACAAATGCGGCAATAGACGGCACTGGATTTCTTATACGTCATTTAGACAATCCGTCACATATATTAGTCGCGATGAAAATTTTGGATTCTATCTGTAAATCAGTAGAATCTGTAGCAATGGAAAAAGATTTCTGGAGAATTCTTGATGAGGTATTTTAAATCATAACCGACATACTATTATTTGTATTTACATGTCGACGACGATATTGCTTGGACGCCGTGGAGCGCGGTGGCTGTATGAGTGATTACCTTTAAATAAGGTTTGATGCGAAATGAATATGGTTTCAACTTTTAAACCTTATAATACCTTTAACCCCATTTATCGGAGGGTAATATGTGATTTTGATGATTTATTTTCTAGTTATTTTTATCTCTTGTTATACTTGTAGATCAAGATGCCAGCCAACGCTGCGGAAGCTTGTTGCCTAGCTTGTGCTCTCGCCGCAAAGCAATCGATGTCAAAGGTCATCATAGCGCCGACTGTGACAGGAAGCACTGCTCGACATCTTGCGCGCGTCGCCCCCGAAGTTGTTATACTAACGATAAGTTCCAATCCATTCACTGCAAGGAAACTACAGCTATATAGAGGGATAATACCCTTAATTTATACTGGTAATTGTATTAATACAAAACATGTTGGATAGTAGTCTTGAAGATTATAATAGTATTTTTGTTGCAGAAAAAGCAAGACCAAAGTTTGAAGATGAAATGAACAGACGTGTAGCGTACGCAGTGGCGTATTGCGTTAAGCATAACATATTAAAATATAAGCAAACATATGTTCTGTTGAGACGAAGTACTATCTACAGTGCGTTCCCTGATATGCTCAGTGTTCACACGGTCTCGTCAAAATTGCAAATAGGTGATCTTGCTTTAAACTAAAATCAAAAAATATAAGTATTTACATTAACAGTTTTTTTTTCTTCATTACTTTCTTCTTCGTTTCTATATTTAATAATGATGATTTTTATGATGATGGTGATGGCTATGATGATGAAGATGATCATAATGTACGAACATTAAAGACTATTACAATAGTCACACAGAAAACAAATTGCATTTCATACTTCGTTAAAATGAAGATGTATTTAAGAAAATTGCCACCTTTAGCATTATTGTCCACCATCTATATCTATATTATTATAATAAAGCGTAAACACACACTTCTTTGTTGCCTAAGATGTCAATAATTACAGCATATTTTTGAATAATTCTTTCTTTACTAAAAAGCCCTACACTTTCCTCACGCTTTAGGCTATACTATATTTCACGCCATTAAACTTAGGGGGTAAATATTTTGGATAAAAACCCTTATGTGGTAAAGAGACCATAAGTTGCTGCCAACATCAAGGAAGCAAGATGGCCATGGTTTGTCATAATGTCATGTCATTTTGACATTTGCGATAATATGACATTTTGATAATATGACAAATGTAAACGACAAAATAAAATTTTCATAATTCTATGCGGATGAAGTCGCACGGGAACAGCTAGTTGTCGATATTAACCAGGAAACAGTACAGTATCCTTGTTTCTTGTAAACGTAAAAAAACTATTATGCCTTTTGAATACTTTTTTTAATGTAAGAAACAGCGAGTTTTATTTCTATAGTTTGTCTATAGAACATTTTTTAATCTCTGGAAATTTGACAATTTCCTTGTCAATGCAAAATCAATTCCGATTAAATTTTAAAAATTCATAGATGTTTCTATTCCTCAAAGAATTATTCAAATTGGTGCAGACGCTTTTTTTCTACGTTTAACTAAAGGTATATTTTATGCATTCCTATTCCGATAGATCTAATATTTATTTTTGAAATACTTTAATAAACAATTTCAGATGTTATCACTTCATAGATCTGTGTACTGTAGAAGTATTCGTAAAAATTTGATGCTGGAAGACGATGCGAAGAGTTACAGACTTACGCCGTTCATTATCACATTCTGTTAGTAAACATTTTTAACTAACTCCTGTCCACAACAGCACTGAGTTATTAATGTAAAATATGTTAAGACTTGTTTTCTTAGAGTATTGCATTGCACAGGTTTACTAGTATTAATCAACCTATGCATATTTTTGCTAATATTAGAAAACTGTGTTTTTCTTGTGCTTTATATCACTATTTAAAAGGCATGTAGACTTCAGAAAGAATTTCTTTACACTAATTTAATCCATGTAATAATTTTTTTTTTTTAAATTTAGCTGATGCCGGCTTAACATCCATTGACATGGAGAATTTCATTGAAATGGGATTACGTATCATTAGATTCACAATGTCGAAGTTAACTCACAACGACAAGATTACATTATTAGCGAAGTTTCGAGAAGCATGTAAAGTGTACTGCTCCAAATATGGCGTGGACAATTGGCCAATTGCGATTTCTATCGATGTTCCTAACGCGTGTATTAAAACTGGCAGTTTAAATAATGTGAGTATCAAGTATTATAAAATTCTGAATGTATTTAAAAACGAAATGTGAAAAATAAATTAATAATACCACGAAATGGCGAAAACGTAAACGAAAATTAATTGTAAATTTTTCAATATTTTTATTTCTTGTTCAAATAAACATAGATAGGTTTGGTTAACAATAACACTTCGCCATAAATTGTATTTATTTGCTAAGAGTGAAATTAAATTTAAATAAATGTGAAATTTCTATCCCAGGAATTAGGAGTGGATGAAATAATATTGGAAGATAATAGTATGATAAATGTAACATGCAATAAGAAATATTGGAACAAATGCAGTAAAGACATAATATTTATGGATGACCCATTTACCTTCCCATCAATAAAACTCGGAACCGAAATAACGTTAGGCTGTGGCAAAGTGGTTATGTTTTGTATTCAAATAATTAATAAGGAAACGATTAAATGTAAAATTGTCCAAGGAGGTCGGTTAAGTGAATTGGAAGCATTTTGTGTGCGAGGTGTCAGGCATGTAAAACCACCATTATCTAATTACGATCTGAAGATGATTGATTTTGCCAAAGAACACAAAGTTGAGTGTTTTTCTCTGTTTTTTTTTTCGATTTGTTGGATTTTTAAATTGACTTTACATGCACTAATTTTAAAACATCTATCTCTTGACGTGACCTCTTCGCAAAAAATTAAAAAAGACTTTCCCTTGCATGCAATATACCAAACATCACTCTAAATTTAACGCAGATCTATTGAACCGTTTTGTAGTGCTAACATTCTTCTAATTTCGAATTTATAACATTAGTAAGAAGCATACACGTTGTTGCCGATGACCTATGTTAGATATGGGAGAGAACATCATTAAGATGGCCTTAGAAGTACGAAGTATTTTTATATTTATTTTATATTTAAGTAAGATACATATGATAGATTTGATTTCAGCTTGACATCATCATTATGAATTCAGTTCGATATCCAATAACTTTAACTCGAGTCAGGAAATTATTTAAGAACCACCGAGTGCCGCATATTATCAGTACTATATGCGAACAGGAAGGCTTGGACAACATTGACGATATTATAGAGGTATTACAGAATATCTAAGCTATCGACATTCTGTATCTGTTGATTTGTCAATGGAGGAGACGCAAAGGAAGGGAAAATGTCACATTATGTGGGTCTCCTCCTTCGTCGATTACGAATAGAGAAATAAATCTGGAAATGCGGATGTCTGTGGGCGGTCGCTTCGATTTTCGGTGAATTCAAAAGGCCGCTCGTTCGTTTGCCACATTGTAATGTAAAAAAACTTATTTCAATCATTTATAAAATCAATAAAGTAACTGAGATAAGCATATGATTCTGTATAGCGGTAAAAGAAGCATAATATCTTCACAACAATAACATGATCATAATTGAAATGCCTTTGTATTTCGAATTAATTTGTTATAGATGTCTGATGGAATAATATTAGCAAGGGAATTTTTAGCCTATGAAATTGTTAACCAGTATCGAATGGTTGCTATACAAAAGCAAATTAGTGGAAAATGTAAACTGGTAATTTGTTTTTAATTTTATAACTAACGTATTCTTCTAATGTAAATGTAGCTTTTGTTTTACTTTTTCAAAAATATTGTCTGTTCTGTTCTATTATTTTAATCTTTGATACTAGTTGATTCCTGTATTCTATAGAATTCCTAGATCGATTTAAATATTAAAATGTTTAATAAACATTTTAACTTTTAGAGGGGGAAACCATTCTTTGTTTCTGGCAACATTTTAGAGGAAAGTCTAAAGAAAGGTATAATAACGGATCGCGACCTATACGATATCACGAACACTGCTATGGATAACACTGGCTTTATATTAAAGGAACTTCATGATCCTTCGCATTTATTAGTTGCTATGGATATTTTGGATTCAGTTTGTAGATCAGTGGAATCTACTAACAGAGATGCGGATTTTTGGAGAATTTTAGACGAGGTTGGTTTTATTTAAGACAATCGATTTAATAGTAAGACAGACTTAGTATAGTAGAAAGTATAAAGATTAAAATGTAAAGTGAAAAGTATCGTGGACCGGAAGAGGTAATGCTAGAGATTAGATTGCGTGAAAGGTGATATTAAGAAGGGATCGATGACAGATGTCGGAAGATCAACCTGAAGGACGAATCCGGTGCCCCACCTCTAGGTGAGTAGGATAAGGACGGGGAGATGATGATAAGGAATAGATCATCTAACAACAGATAGATACTAAAAAGGATGCTTCAGAAATTGTTATCTAAATTTATTCTCCTATACTAATATTATAAAGAGGAGATTTTTGTATTTATTGATATAACTCAAAAAGCTCATTAAAAAGCTACTTTATCATTAAGTAAAGGGGTTTATTTTTCAATTCAGGAGCATCAGTTATTATTTTAAATATGGCTTGCACGAATATAACCATGTTTTTTTAGCTGAAGATGCCAGTGAATGCTGCAGAGGCCTGTTGTCAGGCTTGTGCTCTAGTGGCGAGACAGACCAAGTCTAAAGTGATCATCGTACCAACAGTAAGCGGGAAGACCGCGCGATGCTTGTCACACATCGCGCCAGAAGTCACCATATTCACGATAACATCAAATCCCGCTACTGCAAGAAAATTACAACTATACAGAGGAATTTTGTCTATTATTTATAATGGTAATTATATTTTAAACTTTATTATGGGTAATATTTAAAGGAACTCCTTTGACTTAACAACCGCATAACTATAGTGCGATTGTCGATTGTTTCGCAGCCTATTTAACTTTAGTTGGACAACTAAAATCGTTTAGTGTGTTAACCATATAAGCTCGTAGGAATCGAAGCGCCACTAAACAGTTGTGCGATAGTTTAGTAAAAGGTGTGCGCTTTAGGATGCCTTGCCATACTGATTGCTAACGTATATTTTGTTGATATATGACGATATGATAAGACTTTGTTTTCAGCAAATAAAGATCAAAGTTTCGAAGAGGCAATGGGGGATCGTGTCAACTTTGCTGTGTGTTACTGCATTACTCGTAACATGTTAAATTACAAAGATACGTATGTTGTATTAAGAAGATCTACAATGTATTGCGCCTACCCGGACAATCTGAGTGTGGGTACAGTCAATACAAAATCACATACAGTTTTACAATGTCCTTCTGCAAAAGTTATCACTTCATTACTTTAAGTAATAAAAACGACAATCATTTTGGTTATGGTACCTGTATGAGTTATAATTTGGTTAAAAAACTATAGGTTTTGAACCCGTTTAACAAACAAACATAAGATTTTAGTTTTTTAACATATAAGATGTACCAATAAAATATATTTTTTATATAAATAGTGGATTTAATTTTGCATTATTAGTAAGAAGTAAGATTGATTAGTATACACTTACGTAGCAACTAATCCAAACTACATAAAAGTTGTGCAACTTTATAGTTGAAAATATTGTTTTGTTATTGGCGTTGGGAAAATTGAATTCACCGCCGGATTACAATGCGGCGGGGGATTTGATCAAAAACAAACAATTCATTTTTCCATGTAGCTCTTTTATTTGTACGATCTAATCGTAGCGATTGCAGCAAATAGTGAAACAATTTTGTATTAAAAATTCCATTTATTGACAAGTTATTTTATACATTACACAGTTATATTTTAATTATTAATATTAAATCATCGTATTATATTTAATACTAGCTTTCGCCCACAACTCCATTCACGTAGAATTAAAATTCAAAGTAAGTAGCCTTTATTTTCTTCCAGACTATCTTTAAATCTATACCATCGAGATCCGTTTGCAAGTTTACAGTACAAACTATAACAAACATCCAACCACCTAAATTTTCGCATTAATTAAGTCTCCATATATCTTTATTTCTTATTCTCTATATAATACATTTTACAAGATTTGATATAAAAATATAATAAAACATATTATATAAAAAATAGAGCACCACCGGCTGCGGAATCCGATGAATCAAGCAACCAGTGGTCAGGACAGCAGAGACAGAAACCTCCACACCATTCGTGCGGTTTCTAAAATAACCGCCTTTTGAATCGGGCCCTTTAATCCAACTGTCTAGCGACAGCTTCTTGCACTAATTATATTAGTAAGATAGTAATATTATGTATATATGTAACAGTAATGTAGATTGTAAACACAAGTCGATCTATGATTAAACAGGAGATTGCTACATTCTGTAAGACTCCCAAATTGAAATTAAATAACAACACACACTTATGAGCGATACACATTGTTAAATCGGTTATCAAATGAGCAAGTAATGGGTATTTTATGAAGAAGAAAGAAGTTGCATCCAAGAACTGTACATTTAAGTTATTAATTCTTATTTTGTAAACTGTATATCGTAAACAATCTTCTAGCAAATAATTAAACAGTTTACAATTGCGCATAACTTTAACCCAACTTATTTAGCAACGCATATTTTTAAACAAGGAACAACTACTATTATTTTGCAAAATGCTCAGTGAATATGTTTGAGAAACTGTATAGCCGTGTGTAGATAGCGAGTTGATTCTAAAAGCTATAGCCGCTGCGACTCCAAACGATGGATGAGTTACGAATTTACTTGAAAATTCTCTTTGATGGTACATTTTCATACACCTTTCGATTTAAAATTTCATTTGACTTTAGTTGAGCTGTGATTGATAGCTTGGTTAGTTGGTACTTTATTAAATTGTTTAAACGGTACTTTACCATACTTATTTTTATAGTCATTTACTTTTGCAGAACTGACAAAAGGGCGATTCAGTACTGATTTTATGTGCCTGGTTCTAAAGTCTAATGGTTTTGAAAAAGTAAAGCCTACTACATTTACAAGGACTTTGAGGCTTGGCTTAGCGTTAGGACAGTTGCGCAGAGCATCAAAGCCGGAATCAAATATCGAAGCACGTTGAAATCTATCAAACGTAGTAACTTTTTGGAGTCACGTTCCGAATGTAAAGTCAGAGGTTTATAAATTCAATTTAAACCTCGGAGTGCCGCGTAAATTGCCCTGTCTACCATCAAACGACCGAACCCCTTTGACGTCCGTGGACGATGCTCTTTCGTCACTTGCATGTCCGAGAAGCCATTACAAACCTAGACTTTTAGAAACCCTGACAAACGTGATCAAAATTTCATTCAAACCTGTTCAAACTAGCTACTGTAAATAGTTTCGACTGCTGTTATACTTTCATCCATACTAATATATAAGGAAAAGATTTGTGTTAAAATAGCTCAAAAACTACTGCCGATTTCACAAATGATCTAACAAATAGCTACGTCATCAATGAGTAACATAGGCTATGTTTATTACAATTTTTATTTTCACGGGGACAAAGACGCGATCAACAGTTAGTTGTTATATATATTCATATGGAAACAAGAATAACTGGCATTCGCAATTTACTCTTAAAATTGTTTAAATCGTATAAGCAATTTAAATTGAAAACACATTGTTTTCCTTTAAACGGGAAAGTAATTAAACTACGTAGTTCTAACTTGTTAGACAGCCAAGTTACGAACAATACAAAGTTGGAGACAACATGTATTCACAAGTTAACTTAAAATAATAACTTTGATAGGTAACCGTTTCCTTTATGATAATGTTGACATCTCTGTAGTCAAAAGTTGATAAAGTAATTTCTAAGTAATCTTGCTATTTAAGATTATAAATGGAAAATCTTCATTACATGTTTGTTCATAATTAACTCCAGTTTCAGAAGAAAAACAGTCTTGTAGCACGCGCAAGCTACTTTTTAAAAAAAAAAAAAGTGTTCGGTTCCTGCATATTTTTTTTTTATTACCCAATCATTCAATCGATGAATTCGCAGCGAAAATATTAGTTTATTCCAATTCCAAGTGACCTAAGTTACGAGCGTTATATTTTTTTTAATACATTTACTTTTAAAATAGTTTTAAAAAGGTTATAAATGTCATCATTTAAATGAAGTTTCAGTTGTTGACAGAAAAATAAGTCAGTAATATTTTTAAGTGATATCCTTATGCTGTATAATTTGTTTTTATATCGTTTTAATAAATTTTTTAAACATTTTGTATTATCTTGTTACAGCTATGGTCTGGCCAACTGAATTTGATACGAGACTTGGTGAAGTAAGTTGGAAACTAATTTAGCTTTAAGAATAAAAGTAAAAGAGCAGTTTGAAAGCATTATTTATTAACATAATGTTCTGATTTAAAAAAAACAATCACGAAATAATATAAACAAAGTGCAATTGAAGCTCGATCTGGCGTCAATTTTACCCCTCCTTAATTGTGTCTCTTTTTGTAAAGTATGACGCAATGGAGCTACCCGGTCAGCAGCTGTCCGCAGCGACGGCGTACAGTCCGCTCGACCATGTGCTGAACCTGGACATCAAACTGCCGGCGGCGTGCCAACGACTCACCGGTATTATAGCAACTATAGGCGAGTATACTGTTATATTTATACAGCTTAAAACATACGCTCACTACTGGACGTATGCCTCCCGAAAGATCGTCACAGCCCATCTGCCCTTGTGATGCCCGCAAGGATACTAATGATCAAAAGCAATCTGCCTATTTAGTGAAAGGAAATAATGCACAATTTACATCATTTGTGTATATTCGAATCGTAGTAGTTGTACAGAATACTTGGAGGTATAAGCAGAAGGAGAAGACAAATTTCTTAGCTGAAAAATCTGTGACAATAATTTTATAAAAGTAGCTAAAAAGAGCTGCCTTGACGAGAGTTCGAGTTGCTGATGATCGCAAATCTTTGTTAGGAGATGGCAGCAAAAACAAATGTAGAATAAAATTGCAGGGAAGTCGTCAAACGATGTAGAGATAATGCAGAGGATGATGGCGGCAGGCATGAACATTGCTCTGCTTAATCTGTCGTTCGGTTCGCGCGACGAGCACATTGAGGCCATCAAGAATTTGAGACAAGCGGCAAAGAACTACAGTGTGGTGGTCGGGAAGAACTTTCCCCTTGCTATCGCCGCGCGTCTGCCGGGAAGGAAGATTAGGACCGGGAATATTTCTGATGTAAGAAAAGTTAAATTTATCAATTAGATGCACTGCGTAAACACATTGTGTAGCAAATTGTGCTACGATAGTTCGCTACGAGCTACAGTGTCGTAGATGCACTTTAGATCTTCATAGACGAAAGTCCTGGTAGTTTAATTTCTATAATTCCAATTTTTCATTATTTCAGACTTACGTAGAACCTGTTGAACTGATAAGTGGTGAAAGCGTTCGATTGACCACAGATGAAACTTACAAGGACAGGTGCTCAAGTAGCATCGTATACATTGACTTCCTTCACTTTGCGGAACAGCTAAAGAAAGGTGACATCATACTCCTGGACAATGAGACTATACAATTAAAAGTCGAAGTCATATCGACTACAACATTAACTTGCAAAATCGAAAGAGGCGGGATGCTAGGATCGAACAAGGATGTGTTCGTACCAAATGTTGTGCTCAAAATGCCTACATACTCCGAAAAGGATAAAATTTATATCGAAATGGCTGTACATCATCAGGTATGCTTTAACTTTTTCTTTTTATTTTTATGAGTTATTTTTTTGTATGGACAGTAACACTGCAACCATCTATAGAAGCTTTAGTAGTAGAGGTATGCAATCGTATAATTTTTTTTGTTTCTTTTTTTAGCTCGATATTCTCGTTGCATCATTTGTTGATTCAAAAAATTCGATTTTAGAATTAAAGAATGCGATGGGAGAAAAGGGAAAAAAGATATCCATCGTCGCTAATGTACAAACTTTAGAAGGCTATTACAATTTTGATGAAATACTCGAGGTTACATTGATATTCAATTTTTTTAATTGTATGTGAACATTTTGTGTGATATATATTAGTTAATTTTATTATAATTTTTTCTAAGGTAGCAAATGGTGTTATGATTACCAGACAAGAATTGGGATCGGATATATCGCCGAAGAAATTAGTTATCGCTCAGAAGAATATGATTGCTCGCGCTAATAAGGTAAACATTCGAATATTACCTCCACCAAGGTTCTAAAGTGTAAAGGCACAAAAATTATTTAATACAAGAACTCAAGTTTCCGTAATATCAATGTTTAACGGTATTATATTTGTTTTGCTAGGCTAACGTACCAGTCTGCTTGTGCGCTCATCTTTTAAGCAGTATGAGGTTTAATAAAATACCTCTAAGGGCGGAGCTTCTCGATGTGGCGAACTGTATCTTGGACGGAGCGGACGCGTTGGTACTGTCTGCAGAAACAGCGATAGGTATTGGTCCAGTAGAAACAATAAGTTGTATGGCCAGTGCTTGTAAAGAGGCAGAAGCTTGCGTATGGACTAAGAATATGTTTCAAGATTACGTTGAAAAGGTTAGATGCTGGATTTTTGTTTTGTAGTATTTGGTGTCTTAGAAGTGTAAGCTCATAAATTTGAACCTTGTCATAATAAAACTTATTAATACCACAATAATTGAAGATATACAGGAGATTTGCTAATTATAGCTCTCATTGCAATTATGTGCCTATGGATAATCGCCCTTTACGTCGTTGTTTCAGACTCCAATGCCTTGTGACCAATCAACTGCTATAGCGATGTCAGCAGTACTAGCTGCATATCGTTCTCTCGCAGCTGCGATTGTTGTAGTGACCTCTTCCGGAACTGCCGCGTTCCAAGTCGCCAAGTACCGGCCGAGGTGTCCAATTATAGCGGTCACTCGCTATGCAACACTTGCGAGACAGATGCATTTGTACAGGGGTGTTATGCCACTGATTTATGAATGTAAGTACCTTGATAAATATAATTTGTTATCCACCATATTGCTTGTATTATTCGTATTTTATATGTGACAATATGACCTTATTAGTGTAGCGTATGGTTTTGCCACGACATCCCTTCCTTTTACTCACAGTTTAATTCCTGAACCGCCACCGTGAATGTTTAGTAATATTTATTAATGCTATAGATACACCGGAGTCGGATTGGCAAGCATACCTAGAGCAGCGAATCAATTTCTGCGCGAAATGGGCGATGCAGCGCGGCTTCGTGCGTGTCGGAGATCCCATCGTTATCGTCTGCAGCTGGAAGCAGGGCTCGGAGTTCACTAATACTATGAGGATTGTTTACGCCACTGCCGATATCAATGTCACTTGATGTGGAAGTAGTCTTTTTATAAATACGCGTTTATTTTATGCGTTGTTTTATTTTTGTTTGATTTGCAGGAAAAATGGTTCGTTCCTTTTAACATCTTTCAAGCTATGTGAATTTTAACTATTATCTTATTGAGAGTCGAGTTTACTTTAAATTGAAAGAAAAATTTGTTACCCTCTCTCCTAAATGTGTTCTCAGTTTTCATTTTGTCGAAGAATTATAAGATTAAAAAATATCACTTTTCAAAAGGTTTTCGTAATAATTTATTTCGTAGAATTTGTTTGCTAAAATATAAACAATACAACAAAACAATGCAACGTGTATGTTTTCATTAAGCACAGTAAAACAAAGTTATTCAAAAATTAACAATTCATGGAAACGTTCACTGCCGTCATACTGTTTTCGACTTCCCTGTATAGTTTCAACTTTCTGACGCTACTGCTCAAACGTTTTTAAAATAATAATATGAAATAATAACAATAGGTAAATTACGAAAAAGAAAATGCATACAAATAAATTTGTATGGCAAATTATGATTTTCCAAAACGAAACGTCAATAAACATCGTTATCCTTTTTACTCTGTAAGGAAATAAAAGAGAACAATACTTTGCCAGTAACACGGAGCAGTAATTTGTACACCAGTTTGAGGTACTGAGATCAGTAATGTCAGTTTCAAGGAAAATTCCTTTCGTATCCTCCCTCATTGCATTGCTTGCATGAAAATAATTGCCACAAAAACAGTGTTTAGTTACTTGATTTCCAGTTAGCCTATATACTTACAAACTGGCACGTGCAAGTATGTTGGATAAAAATGCGCTAACTACTATCATTTGTATTATCTATTGAAGGGCCAAGAGTAAATAAAAACCCATACAAGCGCATTTTAGAGTGTAAAAATATGGTTACAATTTCTTAATATAGACGTAACGGGCCGAATTTTAACAGTCCTAATAAATTGAATTCCCTCTCGACAGCTAACTGAACTATTCGACAAAAAATTTATTTTAAAATATTGTATTTTTCACAAAATAGAATACTTTTTATCGATGCTTTTATTTTAATATTTCATTTATATAGTTTAAAGCGTATTATGTTAGCGTACTATGTTATTGTTTTTTGGCATTTGCAAAATGTGGTAAAGAATATAAAACATAAAAATCACAACATTCTAGAGTCACTTCAGCAATTAACGTAATAAGTAACTTTTAAATCTATTTGATTTAACTTTCGAAATTTCCAATGTTCATTAAAAATTTAGACAAAGAAAAAAATATAAATTTCACTTTATTTCCGTGCTAATGAAGCTGTGCTTATTTCAATATCATTAAAGTTTTATAAAAATCTATTAAATTTAACTTCCAAAGTAAGTTCGATGTGACTGCGGCAAGTGAAACTTATGACTAACAACCTCGGAAAGCAATTCCATAAACTTTATTCGGAGCAAAAACTAGGTTAATTTGTATGAAAAGTTTTCGTTCACTTATAGCACATGATAAGTTTTAATAATCTTACTAATATTATAAATGCGAAAGTTTAGATGGATGGATGTATGTTAAAGTTGGTAGCCTAAACGGCTGAACGGATCTCGATGAAATTTGGCATAGACGTAGAGGATAGTCTGGAAGAACACATAGGCTACATTTGTTCATATTTTTTTTAATTCCATGTGGACGGAGTCCCGGGCGTAAGCTAGTACAGTTTATGCGAGTAAAGGCAGTCTCGTTAATGTTTAATTTTAAAAACAATCTTACATTAACACGCTTCTCAGCAATCCTAGAGTACCTTTTCGTAATACATTTAGTCCAAAATCATACAGTGGTAGAGCCCGCTTTAACATCTTCGCACGAATGGGCCGGCTCGCCCGGTGCAATACCACGACCACACAGAAAACAGGCGTGAAGTGGAAGTAATTCCGCGTTTCGTCTGATGAGTGTGGTGCCGGAGGCCTAATTTTAGTCCCTTTTCCTTTCCACCCTTTTCTTAAGGGGAAAGTATGGGAGGGAAAAGTGGATCTGATGGTGGTGGAGACGCACAGGAAGGGGAAATGTCCTCTTTATGTGCGTCTCCTCCTCCGCCAATTAGGGTAGGCAACGCATCTGCAATTGCGGATGTTTATGGGCAGCGGTCGCTTTCCATTTCGGTGGATTCAGGTGGCCGCTTGCTCGTTTGTCACCTCGTATTATAAAAAAAAAATACTAATTTTATTAATGCGAAAGTTTAGATGCATGATTGTTAGTTTGTTCTCTGAATGTCTGGACAGATAGGCCACGTGTTTTTGTTTCTTTTTTTTAATTCCACGCGGGCGGAGTCGCGGGTGAAAGCTAGTCAATTACATATTTTATAGACACCGGAAGACCTTTTTTGGTTAGATTATTGACATGCTGTTCCGAAATAACCTCTAGATATGCAAGAAAAATTGTTTAATTACAAATCCAATGTAAATTTCGATAGCTTTGTTACAACTGTACAAAACTAAAAAAGTCATTACACAAAAACAAGGAAATGTTATTTAAAAGTCACTATTGTTCCCTCATCCCGAACTCCGTCGCTATAATAGAGAATTGAAACTAAAAATCGCTTTAATTCGTGACATTTAAAAGCGGCGAGTTGCGGCACCATTTTGTCGCCGGAGTCATATTGTTCTTAATTCAGCCCCGGATTGTCTGTTGTCTGCTATACCGACTGACAGTTTAATTGTTTTCTCTCGTACAGACAAACAAAACATCGGATTTTTCGAGTTATTATTATAATAAAAGAACTATCGCTTACATTTTTTAATTATACCCTATGGTAGTAAAGGAAAATGTCCTCTTTATGTGCGTCTCCTCCTCCGTCACTTACAGGTAGGCAACGCATCTGCAATTGCGGATGTTTATGGGTAGCGGTCGCTTTCCATTTCGGTTGATTTCGGTGGCCGCTTGCTCGTTTGCCACCTTATATTATAAAAAAAAATGTCAATACTACCAGCATGTCTTCGCTTCATGATAGTTGGCGTAAACTCCATACATTTGCTGTTTTTTTTTTTCAATTAGTAAAATTATCAACAAGGTAATGGATAGGAGATTTCTATTTGATATATTATATATTTCAAACGGCCTAAACTATTGGCTAATTGTTTTCTCTATCATAAATAAATCGGATTTCTCTTCCCTTTCAATACGTAAACAGTTTTCTATGTGAAGTGATTCTGAAAGCCTATACTGCATTACAATGCAACATCTCGTGGGCATTCGACAACTGGAAGTCAATTAAAAGTTGCGGCAACTTAATAAGAGCGCTAACGAAGCTTCAATTGCAGCACCCACGGGACGTATACGTTGATCGAGTACACTCTACAATGATCGTTTCAATTTGTACACTCGATATTTTTTTTACGGTTTATCCATACTTTTTATGGTGAATGAATTAAACACTCGTCCTGAAATTAAAACTCCGATGTTTCGGTCACGGCAGCGTCCGAAACTAGTCGGTGACGTCACCGAAAGATTAAAACAAGTTGAGCCGTTTTTAATTCTTTTTTGATAATTCTTATGACGGTTTAATTAATTTAATTGTTTTAAATACGCTGTTATTTCGTTCTTTATTTACTATGAGAATGAGCAAACAAATAAAACCAAACATCATATTTTTGAAAGATATTGCAAGTTTTCTTTGATAATAAATTATAATATACTACTCGTAGAATCGTGGTTTTCAATACAAATATTATTGTTACAGGACCTCACGTCCTAAAATTCCTAAAGGAGACAAAGAATCTGCAAAATTCAGGTTCGCGACAGCAGAGAATGGAAATCGTCCTAATTTCCCCTGCGGCTTCCGCAACGAGGACGTATTCGTCAAACATATTGAATATTATTGAAATCGAACCAAACTTACCGAACTTTACGTGTATTCCATATTCCCATGTTGCGTTATCATACAGTTTTGTTATGTGTGTCTTAAATTTTATATTTACAATTTCTTTCAGTTCTTAATATTGTTATTCAAGAGACCTCATTGTAGTTCAAATATCTCGAGTTAGTTACTATGTGACATGAGTTTTGAATAAATTATAGCACAATTGTTGTGCGATTGTCGATTGTTTCGCAGCCAATTCAACTGTTTAGTTGCACAACTAAAAATCGAATAGTGTGCGCACCTTCATATAAGTTCACAGGAATTAAAGCGCGAGTAAACTGTTGTTCTATAGATTAGTCAAAGGTGTGCGCTCTGTTATATCCAATGTAAAGTATTTAGATATAGAGTCTATAGCCGTTTCTAATTTATACCTAAAATATAAATATAACAAAGTCTGTAACACATGTGTGTTCGGAGAATATCCAAATAAACGTAGTTTTATTACTTCGCATTCAATTTGTGTATGAAATTGTAAGATAACCGATACACAATTGATGCAATTCGACGGCACGTCGCTCGCTGGCGGGACACCAACGCTATTAAAAGTTCCACTAACTCCGTGAAAGCCCCCGACAAAACTAGTTTGCGTCGGCGCTACCAATGCGCCCCAACATACCCACGTGTCTACGTGAGTACCTCTATGAAACAACTGAAAGTGAGAACGAATTATATTTTGTAAAAAGTTGCATTACGGTGATAAACATGCCAGTACAACGGCATGCCAACTACTGGCACAATACATTCAAAATAACCAGTAACAACAGCACAACTTTAAAATAGCTTTGTTCCTTTACTATCAAAGTTAATAATTAACCCTTTTTAACTTTACAAAAAATAATAAAACTTTTTATTTTCGCACAAAGTAATCGAAATATTCCATAAATTTGACAACAAAATTTAAGAAGCAAATCAATTAATAACTTTTAAATGACTAAACTTTAGGTCACTTATTTAAAAGTTGTGACTTTGTAAATTGGTACAAAAAAAAACTTTTTTTTCCTCTACTTCGAATATGACTATAATGTATTCCCTTATACAACTTACTTTTGACCCTTTTTAAAATCACAATACATATAAATAATAAAAAAAATATAATTCTTTTCAACATTTTATACTAACATCATACATAAAGTTGGAACTAAA